GACAGTTTGGTCTAATACCCTTAAAAAAAAGTATTGTATTCGAATCGACTGATTTGAAGGGGGTTTCACTTCACCTTAACTGTGAAAACTAATAACGAGGTCTATTTGAGAATGCGTCGGAGCGTCAGGGATGCGATGCGGTCGCCTTGACGTCTCGCACTAGACTGTCGCTCGCGGGGTGAAAACTGTACGGAAGAGAAAGTCTTTTCCAAGGTACCGTCTTAAAAAGTAAACGTGCACACCAGATGTGCGTCCGGAAAATTTTCGTATGCGGAAAACCTTTCTTTTCGCCAATGCCTGGATTCCTCCTGAGTAGCGCAAAATATTTGTCTTATATTTTCTATATATTTAACGAATATCGTACATTTTGTAAATATTTCCCTAATAGCACAAAATATTTATCACATATTTTCTATATATTTAACGAATGTAAATATTTCCCTAGTTGCACAAAATATTTGTCTTATATTTTCTATATATTTAACGAATATCGTACATTTTGTAAATATTTCCCTAATAGCACAAAATATTTATCACATATTTTCTATATATTTAACGAATATCGTACATTTTCTAAATATTTCCCTAATAGCTCAAAATATTTGTCTTATGTTTTCTATATATTTAACGAATATCGTACATTTTGTAAATATTTCCCTAATAGCGTAAAATACTGGTCTTTCATTTTCCATATATTTAACAAATATCGTACATATTTTAAATATTTCCCTGGTAGCACAAAACATTTGTCTTATATTTTCTATATATTTAACGAATATCGTGCATATTTTAAATATTTCCCTNTATAGGGATAATATTCTAAAGTAAACGTTTTGCAAATATTTCAGATGTCTGCTAAATGTTTCAAAATGTACGATATTCGTTAAATATACAGAAAATATAGGACAAATATTTTGTGCTACCAGGAATATAATGAGACTTCAATGCGGCATAAATTGTGCAAAACAGTATTTATTTTTCTGTAAGAATTCAACACGTAATAATCTTTGTTTGAGGAACGCAATAAAAAATAACTACAATTATGTATGCCATATGTGTAACAAATATACAGCGAACACATACAGACATAATTAAAAAGAACTAAATTGAAAATATTTGAGTACGATGGAAAGCTTCGTAGCGAGACAGAAATAAAGTGGAAGCAATAATTTTTCAAAGGAAATAACTTATCTGTGCTAGTCCAATTAAATAATTGAAAGATTTATACACTTATGACAGCGATCACAAGGAACGAATTTGAAGTTGTACTATTTATATGTTGAATACAAGTTATAAAAATATTGTACACTACAATTTCACTATACAACTATATACTACGGTTATCACAATTACTAATCCCTTAACTAAGAATATTTAGTAAAAGGAACTTCATACATGTCATCTATTTATTTATGACACCGCTACTACTAATTATTCTTACTTGTAGTGAACAAAAAATTCAGGAAAGGCTTTCTCGTATCATTCAACCGAAACCTTCTTCTTTTCAATTTTTTCTACTCTTACGACACAAGTAAATCTCCTTTCAACTCGACGCAAACGCTGCGACAAGGATTTGTTTTTCTTTCTTAGAAGCTCGATTTCCTTGTTAAAACATTTCCGCATGAGTTCTTTTGTAGGAGATCGAAATACTCTCTCCGGCGAAACAGAAGTTTCTTGATTGACATACCTTCTTCTTGGGGAATCTAAATAAAAAAGATCATGAGTTAATGAAATAAAAGCTCAAAAAGGAAAGTACAATTACAACTTACTAGTGTTGTCGTCTGTTTGGACTCCTATTGATTTCTGTTCGCACGTCTTCAAATGTTCATTACAGCTTGATGATGCAGACGTCAATTCATTAACATTTGATGTTCTCCCTGTTCCTAAAGTGATACCACCTTCCTCTTCATCGCTCCCTTCCTTGAAATATTTAAAAAATGTATTACTTCTTGAAAATGGTATATTTCTTGTTTTTAAGGTGATATGAAAGGCGCCGAGAAATTTAATCGAGGTCGATAAATTAACATTCATCGACACCCTTTTTGGTGGTAATGCCATTTTGTATATTCCAGTGGTAATATAAGCTGGCTCGTCATGTTACCGACATTTATATTTATCTTGAAGTCTGTTACACTCTACGTTGAGAATTATACGAACTGAAACGTTCCATATGTTATTTCGGTAAAGTAAGGATAAAAACATTGACGCAAAACTGTCGAAATCCCAGGAATTTATTATTCTAACGACTGTTTAGGACCAACGTTGCTATCTATGATGTTTAGCTGCAACTAAATTTTTCCTCTAAAAACACGTGTTAGTCCCAAGACCAGCCAGCATTCTCGTATAATTGTTCGCAAAAGTATTTTCCACATTTTCCCATCTGATTCTATAATATCCCATTTCTACGGTATTCTAAATTGTTCGAGTTAGGTCCTGAAACTATTTATTTTTGATTCTACGCCTTCAAGAAGCGTAAAACATCGAAAATGTGTATAAGCCATGCCGTATTGGTTCTAGTCCATGATAAATAAATAAACTTTGGATGAAAAATGAAATTTCATTAGTTTCTGGACTTACTTTAGGGCCACAACATTCCCGTGGTAAGGTTTGAAACGAATCGGTATACTCAGTTCGGAAAATACTTTCACGTACGATTTGATCTCTCAGATATATATAAGCAGACCCTTTCATATCGCCTTGATATGTTAAATTGAACAATTGGATTTTATAAATATATCAGTTTTGTATTTAAAAGATTTATGTATATTTACTTTGTTTTGCATATAAATTCGAACTTACAATTGGAAGAGCATGTTCTCGAAGTCTAACAACAGCTAAAGATGTTCTATCGAATGCGTCTTCAGGAAAATGATCTGAGCAGATGTGACATGTGTCCTTAATATTTTCCATTCGTAAAATACGAGCCCAATCACGTCTTCTAACTGGATCTTTTGGAAATCTAAAATGCAGAATTAAATTATTTTAGCTTATACACCCTTTACTTTCCCTCCAACATAACCTTAAAAATATGACAGCGCGTTTCAACCTGTGGTAGGTTATCTTTCTCCATTTCCCTGTTTGTTCCAATCTGTTTCGTTTCGCCATTCCCTTGCGTAAAACGTAATTCTTACACTTTTTTACACTGCAAGTTGGCATATTTGTATTTATCTTCAATATTTATGCTTACAACTTATTATCAGGGCGTTTATTACGTAATTTTAACTAGAGCGCTCACTTCTCGCACTTTCATCTCACGTGGGTTTATTCACCGAATTACGTATTCGCTATATGAAAGAACGAGATTCCTAGCACTTCCGGTCTAGTAATATTGCAAATAAAGGTACATACCTTGTAAATCGAAAATTGTTGAGAGGTAGGGGGTTATAGGCAGGAAAGGCGGGAAGATGGAAAGCCGTTAAAAGTTAAGAAGAGGATTCGAATCTATCTATATTTTTTAAATATGTATTACATTCATATTTACATGTACTATAATTAGAAGTTCAACGATATAATTTTCTTATTGTGTCATGTAAGCATGAATTATTTAACAGTTTTCAATGTTTAATAATGTAATAGAACCTCGCAATAACAAAAACTAACCTGTACATCCTAGTAAATTCTCTTTCTTCTAATGAAAATGGGTCGAGTCATCACGTAATTCCCTTCTTCTTCTAATAAGGTTATCATTACATCCCCGAATACGATCGTTGCCAAAAATCAAAACACCCAGGAGGTTTTCCATTTTGAATTTCGGTGTCACAATCTGTGGAAGATGGCGTTCACGGCACTTATTCTTTTTATCTTTTCATATATGTACGCTTCACTATTTCGCTTAAAAATTTGTATCGCGCCAGTTCACATGAATGGTCTCGCATTTTCACCACCGAAAACGTTCCATAATACTGTCAGCTCCTCATTTTTTACATTTTCGCTCAACTCGCTTTACGTAATAGACCCTTAGGTTATCATTACGTCCCCGAATACGATTGTTGCCAAAAATCAAAACACCCAGGAGGATTTCCATTTTGAATTTCGGTATCACAATCCGTGGAACATGGCGTTCATGGTGCTTATTTTTCTATCTTTTCATGTACGATTCATCTTTTCGCTTAAAAATTAGTGTCGAGCCAGTTCACATGAATGGTCTCGCATTTTCACCACTAAAAACATTCCGTAATACTGTCAGCTCCTCATTTTTCACATTTTCGCTCAATTTTCTTTACGTAATAGACCCCCTGTTCTTACATTCATGATCCGGACCCGATAAATCCCGGATTGAGGAGTACGATGGAGACGTAGTTAATGCTTTGGTGAAAGCCGGCCAAAAGATCGGTGGGAGTGGGGGTAACCACGTGACCGCCGTAACCATTTCGTCGCTCCTGGAAGGATCATTCTCTCCGGAACGCCCTGTTTGCCGAGTACTCCACGTTGAACGCGGTGAAGATGGATTTGTAGTTTCCGAGCGGTTTGCACACGCAAGTGTGCCAGGACAACGAATAACAATGCGGTGAGTGTCAGAAATCGTAGAGGAATAACCTCTTTCCTTGAAATTCTTCCTAATTTCGCGAATTCATGCCAACCCATTACCCCCACTCCTCGACGTTTGCACGTCATTCGTCATTAACTTGGCAATTGGCTGTTCAATTTGCGTTTATTGCATTAATCCTTCGCTTGTTTGCACTTTTTGTCACTCTCTGGATCGACTGGAATTTCTGGAAATATTTATCTCGCCTCGTGTGATATTGTCAGTGATTGCGTCATTATTTTATATATTATATTTTTAACGAGTTTATTTAATTATCAGCCTCGGTTAGTTAAATCTTGATGTCAAAAAGTACTGCACTGCTTGAATTATTATAATAACAGTGCATCGGTTGATTATGAAGTCTTTGCGTGCGATTGTGAATAATCATCTGCGATGTATTAATTATGAGAATGGTTTAAATGAATTTGTTGACTCGCATGATTTGGGGATCGAATGCAGATATTGTTAATCCTTTGGAATTAATTTCTCAATGCGTTCCGATGCAGGGAGGTTATCTTATCTTCGGCATTTGAAGAGTTCATTTCAAAGATTTGTACGATAATGTAAATTATGCTTAATACGTGAAACATCTTGTAGTGATGATAATTATTTTCTTAATGTCATGAAATGTTAAACGTTGCTTGAAAAGTGTTTCAATTTAGGATTGAATGCAGGTACTGTCAATGTTTTGGGGTTAGTTTTGCAACGTTTTTATTTTAAGAGGTTATTTCATCTCTTACTTTCGAAAGATGCGTTTCAAAGGATAAATACAATAATGCTGACTGATTTTGGAAGTTTGTGCCTAATATATGAAACATCGTAGCCATAATACTTTTGGTTTTAATACATGAAATGTTAAATAATTAATCCTTGACTCTCCGTTGATTCCGCTACGGAAACATCCGTCATAACGTTCCGTAACTTGCGGAGTGTTAAGAGTTAAATGATACATAAAAAGTGTATGCATTTAGGATAGAACAAAAGTTTGATCAACCTTTCGGGATTAATTTTGCAACTCTTTTACTCAGAGATTGTTTTGTCTCCTGTATTTTGAACGTTTATTTGAAAAGATTAATGCAGACCGATTTTGCAAGCGGCGCTAGTACATGAGACAGTTGTAATACTTTCTATCCTAATGCATTAAGTGTCATATAATTAAATAATACATAAAATATACATAATAATGAATGATTTGACTATTGTTTATTTTTCAGGGCCAACATGGCGACCTTTGCCAGCAACGACGTCTCTACGACGACGCTAAGTTCTTTATATCGATTCAGTTTAATTACGCATCGGACTCATATCGACAATGTCATTCACACTGAATGTCGAGCCGAGTCCGTGGAAGGCGGAGCCAGTCTCTCCATGTGAGAGCTTGCCGCTGGACATCGACGATGATTCCCTTTACATCGACAACAAGCCCTTGGACATCTCGGACACCTTCAAGACCGAATTGTACAATGAACATCCTACCAGAGCACAAGTGGCGTCGAAGCTCCTCGAAGAATTGGACGAGTGGATCAAAGAAGGTAATCCGATGTTTGCTAATAATTTCAGACAGTAGAATCGTAACTAAATTTAGATATAAACATTTTTATAGCTTATCTGCTGTTAATCATTTTAAAGCACATTAATGACGCACAGAAGATATCGAACAATTTATGCCGAGTCACGGCCTTGGGGGTAATCATGTCCCATGAACTTTGTTCGTCTACTTCGATCATTTTCGAGATTCCAATCTGGTGTAATCGGAATTGATTTTCGGTTTATTTAAATCCTACGGTGGTATTTTAAGCCACATAATTAACTTGCACTGATAATTAAAGTAGACAGGTAGCTGGAACTGAAAACTACAGAATGAGACCTGAACGTATCTTGCTGAAGAAATCTTTCGATTCTAATAAAATGGATCTTGTAAGAATCATCAGTGCCGCAACCCAAATGGTGGCAAATTAATACCAAGTGGAAGTGACTGTGAAAAGGATTCGATGTGCAAAATTGATCTCAAGTTATTCAAAATATTAAGGTGATCTGAGTCAGCATATATATATATATTTGAGAGGTCAAATCGTTGGTGGAAGTATTCTCCGAATTGGGTCAACCGATTAGTTTCAAATTTTACCATGGGAACATGGAGACCCTACAGTAGGTCCTGAAACTCATGAAATTTCATTTTTCATACAAAATGTATTTCTTTATCATGGACTAGAACCAACATGTTGTGGTCCGTGGACGTTTTTGATGTTTTACGCTTCATGGAGGTTTACACTCGAAAATGAAGAGTTTCAGATCCTAGCTCGAACAATTTAGAATACCGTAGAAATGAAATATTACAGAGTCAGATGGGAAAATATGGAAAATACTTTCACCAACAATTGCAAGAGAATGCTAGCTTGTTTTAGGGCTAACACGTGTTCGTAGTGCAAAAGTTTAGTTGCCGCTAAACGTCACAGATGGCGACGTTGGTTCGTAAAAATATAAGCAGTCGAGAATTCATGGGATTTCGGCAGTTTTACATCGATCTTTTTATCATTACTTTTCCGAAATGACATATGGAACCCTTCAGTTCGTATAATTCTCATCGTAGACTGTAAAAGACTTCAACATAAATATAAATGTCGGTAATGGGACGCGCCAGCTTATGTTACCACTTAATATTCAAAATGGCATTACCATCAAAGAGGGTACAGATGAATTTTACTTTATCGACGTTGATTTAATTTCTCATGACTCCAATCACCTTAATGGAAGATATTATCATATGGATAGAATGTTGTATTAAGGTGATGTGAAAGTGACGATAAGAGATTTTGTTTTTGTAATTTTTCTCCAAACTGAACGTAACGAATCGTTTCAAACTTAACAACGTGAATATGGAAGCTGTAAAGAAGGTCCTGACACCCATAATATTTTAATTCTTAAAAAATTTGTTTATAGATGTTTTCGATATATTCTGCAACAAACGAAATTTCGCGAGTTTTAGGACCTACTTTAGGCTCTCTATATTCACGTTGTAAAGTTCGAAACAATTCGATACATGAGCCGTTTATTTTGAAAGTGGCCTAAGTCCATTTATACTTAAATTGAGATATTTAAGGTGAAGTGAAACCCTCTTCAAATCAGTCGATTCGAATACAACACTTTTTTTTAAGGGTATTGGACCAAACTGTCCGAAACTTTGACACGTCGCTCCTGATCATCTAAGAATTGTCCTGACACATTTATAATTTGAATTTTTGGAATAAATTTTTTAACTTAGTCCAGGCCCGGACCAAAATGGCGTCGGGCTCTCATATTTCGATCGATATACAATTATCTAAGGCTCTGATATGAGAAACGAAAGGGTCAGGACAATTTTACGACAATTTAGAACACTCTGGTAATCGATAAACTCGCATTTGAACGAGATAAAGGCAAAAAAAGTGTTTTATGCGCTTCTATGCTAAAACGATGGGAATACGAGGTCTCGGAGTGAAAATTTCTCTGTCTCGCATTTTCACCACCAAAAACGTACCGTAATACCGTCAGCTCCTCATTTTTCATATTTTCGCTCAACTAGCTTTACGTAATAGACCCCAAGGTTATTATTACATTCCCGAATACGATTGTTGCCAAAAATCAAAACGCCCAGGAGAATTTCCATTTTGAATTTTGGTGTCACAATCCGTGGAAGATGGCGTTCACGGCGCTTATTTTTCTATGTTTTCTTGTACGCTTCCCCATTTCGCTCAAAAATTAGTGCCGAGCCAGTTCACATGAATGGTCTCGCATTTTCACCATCAAAAACGTACCGTAATTTCGTCAGCTCCTCATTTTTCACATTTTCGCTCAACTCGCTTTACGTAATAGACCCCAAGGGGTCTAAAAATTTGTGCCGAGCCAGTTCATATGAATGGTCTCGCATTTTCACCACCAAAAATGTACCCGAATACGATTGTTGCCAAAAATCAAAACGCCCAGGAGGTTTTCCATTTTGAATTTCGGTGTCACAATCCGTGGAAGATGGCGTTCACGGCGCTTAATTTTCTATCTTTTCTTGTACGCTTCACCATTTCGCTTAAAAAGATGTGCCGAGCCAGTTCACATGAATGGTCTCGCATTTTCACCCCCAAAAACGTACCGTAATACCGTCAGCTCCTCATCTTTCACATTTTCGCTCAACTCGCTTTACGTAATAGACCCCACAGTTATCATTACATCCCCGAATACGATTGTTGCCAAAAATCAAAACGCCCAGAAGGTTTTCCATTTTGAATTTCGGTGTCACAATTCGTGAAAGATGGCGTTCACGGCGCTTACTTTTTCCATCTTTTTTTGTACGGTTCCCCATTTCGCTCAAAAATGAGTGCCGAGCCAGTTCACATGAATGGTCTCGCATTTTCACCCCCAAAAACGTACCGTAATACCGTCAGCTCCTCATCTTTCACATTTTCGCTCAACTCGCTTTACGTAATAGATCCCAAGGGGTCTAAAAATGTGTGCCGAGCCAGTTCACATGAATGGTCTCGCATTTTCACCACCAAAAACGTACCGTAATACCGTCAGCTCCTCATTTTTCACATTTTCGCTCAATTTGCTTAACGTAATGGACCCCCATACGTCGATGATCCGAACTCAATAAATGCCGGATTCAAGAGTGCGATGGAGACGTAGTTAATGCTTTGGTGAAAGCCGGCCAAAAGGTGTCGAGCCAGTTCACATGAATGGTCTCGCATTTTCACCACCAAAAACGAACCGTAATACCGTTAGCTCCTCATTTTTCACATTTTCGCTCAATTTGCTTTACATAATAGATAAAAATTTGTACCGAGCCAATTACTATGAATGGTCTCGCATTTTCACCACGAAAAACATTCCGTAATACCGTGAGCTACTCATTTTTCACATTTTGGCTCAATTTGCTTAACTTAATAGATACAAATTTGTACCGAGCCAATTAATATGAATGGTCTCGCATTTCCACCCCCAAAAACGTACCGTAATACCGTCAGCTCCTCATTTTTCACATTTTCGCTCAACTCGCTTTACGTAATAGATCCCAAGGGGTCTAAAAATTTGTGCCGAGCCCGTTCACATGAATGGTCTCGCATTTCCACCCCCAAAAACGTACCGTAATACCGTCAGCTCCTCATCTTTCACATTTTCGCTCAACTCGCTTTACGTAATAGACCCCCTGGTCAAAGGACGCGATTTCGGGTAGATTCCACGATTTCTGGTAAACAAGGAGAATATCCAGAGTTATCCGCGTTAATCTTCGATCGGAAGGCGACGATAAGGACTCAATGCCTCGAGTTCGGTTATCGGGCCGAGAGACCGTCGCTGTCCCTGCGGGAAATTACCATACGTCTCTCTGATTATCGAAGTGAGAGCCAATGACGAGGGAAATCCGCGGTGGGGGGGACGCGAGCGCGCGAAGGAGAGGTTAAGATAAATGAAGCGGTTAAGTGGCGATCGTCCGCGCGCTCGTCGCCTTTATCCGCGCGACTGCGACCCATTTAGTTCGACCTCTCCCGAGGAAACGCGTCGTGTTCCCGACTCCAGTGTTTTTCTAACCTCAAACTCGCCAGGCCCCTCTCTCGGGTTTCCGAAAGTTTCTGCCGTAGGCTGTCTAGCGCATTCTTTAACCGTGACCGAACTGCCCCGGGCCATGGGCGGAGACTCCCGAGTGTGGATTTTTTGAGCGTGGGTTGTGTTTTTTTTTTCTACGCGGTGTTGCCAACTTGACTTCTGTTTATTCCAGTGCGGTCGGATTTAAAATCCCGTAAGCTGGTATAACCAAGAAAATGGTTTAAATTGATGGGCTGAGATTTTTGAAGACATTGAGTGAACTCTGGTGGTGACTTTATGAACAAAAGGAAGAATATATATATATACTGAAGTATCCAGCGATAACGACGAAGTCGTCTTATAGTGCAATGATATAATAATTGATATTGGTCTAAAAGTGTATAATTAAAATAATAGTGTAAATGTTAGAACACTAATCTGGTCGGGGTTTTTTTTTATACGGCTCGTTTTCGGGCACGCGACACTGTTGCCAAGTGTGGGCCCGCGTTCTCTGGGGCTGCTACGGAAAGCTCGCTCGTGATTGGTCGACGCCCCTCGGCCGAGCCTTCTGATTGGTTCGTTCGTCCACGGTGCTCGGAAGTTTGGGTAATCGGCCCACGTGACCCGCGACAGGCTGAAACTTGGACCGGTTATCAAAGACGGGACGCGAGTGCGACATTTCACGGAACACGGCCGCCATATGTGACATAGATCGACACGCAGACGGGGATTTTGTGCGCAGTTGAGGTTTTGTCCAATCCAACGGATCTCGGAACTGGTTACACGGCTGAGAAATACGAATGGTGTCGCTCTTTTGACGGAAATACGCGGACACTTTTCTTGGGATTAGACGGTTCTGTATCGAGATTTTTAATTTTATCGGCTGAGATAACGAGATTGTTGGTGCACGTGGGACGATTAGGCTCGGTTGAGCTGATAGTTTTAATGAGTGATCTGCTTCGAAGGGAAAAGTGAAGCTTGAAGCTAAGCGGAGAAGATTTTTAGCTGTTACGTGCTGAATCTGGGGAGCGAAGTGGAAATTCAAGTTTGACAGGACTCGTAAGGAAAATATATACTTGAAACGATTGATCTGCTTCGAAGGGAAAAGTGAAGCTTGAAGCTAAGCGGAGAAGATTTTTAGCTGTTACGAGCTGAATTTGGAGAACGAAGTGGAAATTCAAGTTTAACAAGACTCGTAAGGAAAATATATACCTGAAACGATTAATTTGCTTCAAAAGGAAAAGTGAAGCTTGAAGCTAATCGGAGAAGATTTTTAGCTGTTGCGTGCTGAATCTGGAGAACGAAGTGGAAATTCAAGTTTGACAGAACACGTTATAAGGGAAATATTACAGGGACATATACTTGGCAACGTTACTCTGCTTCGAAGCGAGATTTAAAGTTCTACGGAATACTGTGAAGAAAGTATATCAGCTGTTACATCGTGCATCTGATCGGTGGAGTGAAAATAAAAATTTAACGCAACGCATATCGTATATGTATGTATATATTTACAGTGTTTTCTCTGCTTCGAAGTGAGAATTAAAGTTTGACAGACAACGCATTGAAGAAAGTATCCACTATCAGTCGCATCTGGACAACAAAGTGGAAATAAAAACTTAACGGAACACACATCGGAGGAAGTATCTCTTATCGGCTGTTGCATGTTACACATCGACAACAAAGTGGAAATGGAAGTTTGACGGAAGAAGCATAGAAGATAGTGTCTTTCATCACCTGTTGCATGCTACATCTCGACAACGGAGAATAGTGAGAGAGATCCGAAGAGAGTCTCTTGCAACTTGACGATTCTTTAAGCAAGCTGCGTATGAGAGTTCGGTTTGGAATTGAGTAATCAGAGTTTGATAAACCTGAAAAGACTGGCAAGTCTAAAGCCGATACATGTAATAAACTCAGCACATCGATGTTGGAGTGTGCCAATGTTCTATAATAGCATGCAGTTCGCGTATAGATACACGTGGAACAAAGAGATCATTGTCAACTCACAGAAACTCGTAAAGAGACGTTGAATTGGGAGGTGCTGACTTTGGGAAGCCCATCTTCGGCTAAGAAACTGCTACACCATCCTCCTGCTCTTGCTGGGCTCCTCGACGACTGTCGTTGCACCTTTATTGCTCTATCAACCTTATTCAACTTGACACAACGTAACACAACCAACAAAGCTCTGCGATGGCAACTATGTGTCTTGGCGGTAGGTTCTTCCGACACTGATGAATACACCTGTTTCTTTTACAGCTACGATGAACCTGAAAAATTGAAGTGATATGAAAAGCGGAAAGAAATTTAATTGAAAAGCGTTAAGGTGTTAATTAAATTCAAGAATTGTTTAATGCAAAGATTATGTTTTGTATATGTGGGAGCATTTTTCTGTCGATACTTGAAATGCTTCCTTCGCATGCAAAATATTAAGGGGATGTGAAAGTGGCGTCGAAGAGATCTCGTTTATGAAATTCTTCTGCAGACTGGGTGTACTGAATCGATTCAAACTTTAGGATATAAATATGGAGGTTATAAGGAAGGTCCAGAAACTCATGGGATTTCCACTTTTGGTTTAAATTTTGCATAGCTATTGTTAAATTGCGTTGTATAAAAAAATGAAATTTTCAAAGTGTCAGGACCTTCCTTTTTCTTTTCTTTTTTTTTTAACTTTTTCATTCTTTCAGCCATATTACATAATATGTGATTACAATTTTCTTCCTTTGTGTGAATAAACTAACGCATTTATTTACATTTTTTTTTTGTAAGAAAATAGGGTTCTCAACAGCACCCATCAGTCGTATGTTCCTATTACGTAATACTTGCTTTTATCTTGTTACTATTTTTTATATTCTTATTGTCAGGACCTTCCTTATAGTATACACATTCTCGTTGTAAAATTTGAAGCGATTTGGTACAATGGCGGACATGAATGCCTCCTCTGCAGATACGGCATCGCCTGTGCAGGATTGGAGGGCATTGATGTCTCCCAGAGTACAGTGGCGGATATGAATGCCTCCCCTGCAGATACGGCATCGCCTGTGCAGGATTGGAGGGCATTGATGTCTCCCAGTTTTTATTACATAATACTTGCTTTTATCTTGTTACTATTTTTTATAATGTTTTTGTCGGGACCTTTCTTATAGCCTACGCATTTACGTTCTCAAATTTGAAGCGATTCGGTACAATGGCGGACATGAATGCCTCCCCTACAGATACGGCATCGCCTGTGCAGGATGGGAGGGCATTGATGTCTCCCAGTGTACAATGGCGGACATAAATGCCTCCCCTGCAGATACGGCATCGCCTGTGCAGGATGGGAGGGCATTGATGTCTCCCAGTTTTTATTACATAATACTTGCTTTTATCTTGTTACTATTTTTTATATTGTTATTGTCAGGTTTTTTATATTGTTATTGTCTTCCTTATAGACTACGCATTCATGTTGTAAAATTTGAAGCGATTCGGTACAATGGCGGACATGAATGTCTCCCCTGCAGATACGGCATCGCCTGTGCAGGATGGGAGGGCATTGATGTCTCCCAGTGTACATTGTGGACATGAATGCCTGCCCTGCAGGTACGACATCGCCTGTGCAGGATGGGAGGGCATTGATGTCTCCCAGTGTACATCCCCAGACAGCACAAGTACATAGCACAGAGGTTCATAGAATATTCGTTGAAAATATTCCAATATTATTAGGATATGGATTTATGTGCTATGTACATTTTTTGAACATAGGGTGAATGTAGTTTTGGTCAGTTTTTTATATTTCAAATATATTTAACGAAATATTGTATGAACATGGAATTGATACTTCTTACACATAAGAAGTAGCATGCCATATACATATCTGAATGATATTTTTTGGCACGCAAATAAAAATACAAAGGGTTCATGTTTCAGTGTTCTATTTTTATATTAGCGTCAACATTTGGTGAGATAAAATATTGAAACATTAAAACATAAGCACCTGCTTTTACAGAAAATAAAGTACTTACCCAGGGAATATAAATTTAAAGTATCGGTGCACGTATGTGTATTGAAAATAAAGTAATAANTGGGAAACATTATCGTATGTATATAATCTAATAGTGTACTTAATGTATCATTCCAATGTCGAATATACATGAGGAATATTTTCCAACTCCTTTTCTATATTTTATGAATATTTTATGCTGTTTGGGTTCAGTTAAAAAAGATTCATCGACGATTGATCTTTCGGAAGCCGCTTTCACATCGCCTTAAGGAGCTATTTTTTCCAAATTTATATATCTTGTTATTATAATTAACCATACTGGAAACAATAGATATGGCGCCCGATGTTCGAAGCGGCGTGTTTTTATAATGACATCACGCTAATGTTACAATCTTGACGATAAGTTCTCCTTGAGATTATGAATGTTAACGCCTTGATTTTATTACCAGTCTTAACACATCTCGACGTTTCCGCATCAAGGCTAATTATGTAAGAAAAATGTACATGAAAGTTACCTATAGGGTAGAAACATGAAGTCGAATGCGTAAAACAATACGCATTGGTCCTTATATCTCACTTTTAATGTTAAAAGACGTATTTTAGAGAACTGTTAAAAGCGTACGGCATCGCCTGTGCAGGATGGGAGGGCATTGATGTCTCCCAGTTTTTATTACATAATAATTGCTTTTATCTTGTTACTATTTTTTGATATTGTTATTGTCAGGACCTTCCTTATAGTCTACGCATTCACGTTGTAAAATTTGAAGAGATTCGGTACAATGGCGGACATGAATGCCTCCTCTGCAGATACGGCATCGCCTGTGCAGGATGGGAGGGCATTGATGTCTCCCAGTTTTTATTACATAATAATTGCTTTTATCTTGTTACTATTTTTTTTATAATGTTATTGTCAGGAGCTTTCTTATAGCCTAAGCATTCACGTTGTAAAATTTGAAGCGATTCAGTACAATGGCGGACATGAATGTCTCCCCTGCAGATACGGCATCGCCTGTTCAGGGTGGGAGGGCATTGATGTCTCCCAGTGTACATTCCTATTACATAATACTTGCATTTATTTTGTTACTATTTTTTATATTCTTATTGTCAGGACCTTTCTTATAGCCTCCCACATTCATGTTGTAAAATTTGAAGAGATTCGGTACAATGGCGGATTTGAATGCCTCCTCTGCAGATACGGCATCGCCTGTGCTCGATGGGAGGGCATTGATGTCTCCCAGTTTTTATTACATAATACTTGCTTTTATCTTGTTACTATTTTTTTATATTGTTAATGTCAGGACCTTCCTTATAGCCTATGCATTCACGTAGTAAAATTTGAAGCGATTCGGTACAATGGCGGACATGAATGCCTCTGCAGATACGGCATCGCCTGTGCTGGATGGGAGGGCATTGATGTCTCCCAGTTTTTATTACATAATGCTTGCTTTTATCTTGTTACTATTTTTTTAGAATGTTATTGCCAGGACCTTTCTTATAGCCTAAGCATTCACGTTGTAAAATTTGAAGCGATTCGGTACAATGGCGGACATGAATGTCTCCCCTGCAGATATGGCATCGCCTGTGCAGGATGGGAGGGCATTGATGTCTCCCAGTTTTTATTACATAATAATTGCTTTTATCTTGTTACTATTTTTTTATAATGTTATTGTCAGGAGCTTTCTTATAGCCTAAGCATTCACGTTGTAAAATTTGAAGCGATTCAGTTCAATGGCGGACATGAATGTCTCCCCTTTAAATATGGCATCGCCTGTGCAGGATGGGAGAGCATTGATGTCTCCCAGTGTACGCATATTAACTAATAAATTTAAAGAAAAATTTCCGGTAAATTTGTCATAAAGGGTTGCAGCGATGTATTTACCGCATACTCGAGTTATATGCCTTTACCGACATTTATGAACTGAAAATTTATGGGAAATTTAACAGGAGCTATATCATGACTCCGTGACATTAATTGTCGGACATTGTATGGAGTTAGTTAATGTTACTAATGTGAGCTAAATATGATGTTGTGAGATGAATATGATTTTTGTAAAAAATTATAAATTTGGTATCTTAAAATTGAACGCAATATACTAATTTCTAAATAAATTTATATACTGTATATATGAAATGTTATAAAATCGATACCTCATCTCCGAATAAAACTATAACAAAAATTATAATTTTTCTTAACAGTCAAATAATAATTATGGATCGCTAAGAAGCCTAAAATCTAATTTCCTAGTTCACATGAAATTATAGAGCAAAAATTTAGTTCTAGCTAAACGTCACAGATGGCGACGTCGGTCCAAAACATTTGTTAAAATAATAAATTCCCTGGATTTCGGTAGTTTTACATCGATCTCTTCATCATTACTTTATATGGATCGCTTCAGTTCGTATAATTCTCAAAATAGACTGTAAAAGACTTCAAAATAAATATAAATGTCGGTAATGTAACGCGCCAGCTTATGTCCCTCTTGAGTATTCAAAATGGCGTCACCACCAAAAAGGGTATAGAGGAATTGTAATTTATCGACATCGATTAAATTTCTCAGCGGGAATCTCTCTTAGGAAATCTAGAAAAATTGGCCTAGTCTGTCGGAAATTATATTACAGAACCTTTGAAATTTAATCTTGACTCGACACAGTTATTAATTGAGCGTCGGTTGTTGTCGAGATGATTAATAAAAATGGCTACCTTGTATTCGTATCACCGATGCGGGGCAATGCAGCCGATACACTTTTACAATGGAAACTTAGCATATCCCGGCGTGTTACGTTCTCCTTGAAATTATGAATCTCGATGACTTTAATTATCATCGGGTTTAACATTGACGATTTGTTTCCGCGTCTAGATGCGTGACAAGAAAACGAGTTCAGGATTGCAACATCTTTGCCCAGACTACGGGCAGTTGCAGCAACAAAGTCGCTACTTAACAATATTTCATGCCACGAGTAAAAAATTCTCGACATGGATAAATATAGTGCAATCATTAATTAGGAGTCTCCTACGCCTGATAAGCCATTTATAATGACATTAACATAACTCGCTGTGACTCGAAATTCCCAGTTTCGTAATTTACTGAAAGTTATCTCCGCCATTTTCCTTCTTCCTTCGTGATGTAGAGAGGAGCAATAAGCGATACTAATTAATGTTCTGAATAATTAAAAAGTAATGTTAAGGATAATGTAAGAAGTAATGTTAATAATGATTATTCTTACGGCTTAATCAG